TTTGATACCATGAAGAAAACTGAAGAGAGGAGAGCTTGAGAGTTCAGCAATGAGGGTCTGAGAACTTAATATAGACAGGATGGGCCCAGAATAAGGCCCACTACAGAAAAGAAACATAAATAACAAGAAAGAATAAACAACCTATGGGCCATTCGGCCCATCTTCTCTACAGGGTGTATCAATACATTGAACCTTGGTGGACCCCACCTCACAAAACCAAAAGCAACAACATGAAATCCCTTCCAAACAGGCACTAAGCCTTGTCTCAACTATATGGGGTCAGCTAATTGAATCCTGTTATGCCATTCTGCCATATTGCTCTGGTTTGCTACATCTGTTAATCATATACTATTGATTTTTGTAATCATAGCTTTCATACTAAGATAATTGAGAAATCTTCTCTGTTCAGGTTAACAATATCAGTGGTTATCTTCCAGGAAGGATCGTATTTTTCTTGGTATGTGAAAACATGTTCAAGATGTCAATTATAATTTGACATCGTATATTTTTTCTTTGATTCTTTAGTCAGAAAGGCAAACTAGTTTGTAACTTAAGGAAACAACTTTGTGCATAAGTTTCTGCATATGGGTCTATCATTCAAAATTTTGTACATATCTGAGTTATTTTTTTCTCCTCTATACAACCATGAATTGAGTTAGCTTAAGTGGATATGGAGCAAAAGGAATATCCTGAAATACATTTATAATAATACTGTTGCCTCACTTGGGCTAAGATGCCAGACTCAAATGCAGATCTCCTTTTTCAGCAGCTACTTCTGTGATTCATCAATTTTGTTTTAAAAAATTGTTGTCTTTTCTAAATCGAATTTCATGTAATTTATTTCTTCACAGGTAAATATGCATCTCACACCCCGACCAATATTGCTGACTCGACATGGAGAGAGTCGGGATAATGTTAGGGGCAGAATTGGAGGAGACACAGTTTTGAGGTGCAGTGTATTATAAAGTATAATGGTGGAAATTTTTAAAACCTTTTACTGATATCACCAAAAATAAAAATGTTCACATATGATTGAATTCTTCTTCATGCATTTCATACAGAAATAAGAGCTGCAAGCCTGCAACCTGCAATTGTGGAATGTGCATGATGTTTACAATGACTTTGATAGATAATTTTTATAGAACCTCCAAGATTGCAACTGGTCATCATTTTTAAGATTTCTAATATTAATATCTTTCAGTAATTGGATCTAAATTTTCTTCAAAAGTAAGCTGTAGAGAAGATGGGCCGAATGGCCCATAGGTTGTTTATTCTTTCTTGTTATTTATGTTTTTCTGTAATGGGCCTTATTCTGGGCCCATCCTATCTATATTAAGTTTTTTGTAAATTCTTGCCCAACTAAGGGCCTCCTTGTAATTATTCAAATATATCTTAATAAAAGAGTGTTAGGGTGCTGAGAGAGTGAAGGTTCGAAACTCTCATTCTCAGATCCTCATTGCCGAACTCTCAAGCTCTCCTCTCTTCAGTTTTCTTCATAAGCCTTTGGAAGAATAGGCCCTTAGTAGCAAATAGAAAATCACCCAATATTGGCAATAGTGTAATAAACATGAGCATGTATATCAACCATATCCTCAAGGAACCCAACAATGGTTTTGTGGAAGTTATTTTTTAATCAATAGATACTATGTAGAAATAAAATTGTCATTATAAAATATGCTTCTCTGAAGCATACTAATAGCCTCATACCACTACAAAATATATATGTAGAGAACACTGATGTGGGCCCCACAGCTACGGTCCCACTGTGTTCGTAGGGTTGAAGGTGTTCTAGTCTTCCTAGGGTTAGCTGGTGGTCAGTTAGTTATGTCAGTTGTTATTTATTTCAGTCTTATTTTATTCTATTTGTTATGTAAATACTAAGGGCAGATCTGTCCTTTCCATGTAATGAGCATAACCTATAAATACTAAATAAAGTGGCGGCGGCAGAACATGATGCTTCTTTTCCTCCTTTCAACTCTTGTGTTCTACTGCTCTCTCTTCTCTCTTTCTCCTCTCTTTTCTATACTTTTTCTTCTATTTTCGAACCTGAAATCCATTAGGGTTCAAGACTGATAGCAGTCCTGAACATCTACTATATAAAAGGTAGAATGCCTTAAACTCATAGAACTTATTAAGAGCATGTTTACTTTATTTCATAAGGATGGATGAATAAGCTGCTAAGGTGAAAGTTCTAAATCTCAAATGATATAAGATCTTTAGGCATGGTATATTCTTATAGACAAAAGGGTAACTGCCAATACCAAATTCAAGACTAATATAACTAACTATATACACAGAAATATTAAAATAAAAAAATGCCACAAAGAAAAGAAATGTCTTTCATTTCTTCAGCTTTGTATATAATTAATACTTGTGTGTAATGTGGCTAAATTGGTTAAGCTGTGTTTGAATTGCGGCAGAAGTGGAAATGAGCAGCAGAAAAGTATATATGTCCACTCCATTTGGCTCCAAAAATGATGAGGAAAAACATGGAAGACAGAAAACTTCTAGATGTGTTTTCTGTAGATTTGAGGAAAAAGGAACATTCAGGAGGATAGTCTTTTCCATTGTCCATTGAATAATCGAATCTGTGGCCCTTTTCCACTTCTGTTCCACAATCCAAACAGTCTTATTGAAAATTTGTCATTGCCATCATTTCATGTGCTGTTACTCTGTAAAGGTCTATATTCTAAATTATGCATCTACCATCCCTGCAAGTATGAAAATTAGGATATGTGCAAGGGTATATTATCCCCAGTTTTCTATATCTTTGCTACCCTTGGGTCCATATAACTTAGATCTGATGGTTGTTAAAGTCTATTCCATGATCACATTTATGCTTCTGTTGTTCCTTTGACCATTTTTTTCTTGGTGCATTCCTAATTACCTACAAAGCTTGTTCTTCTCAATTGTTTCTTTAATATTGTTTGATTGAGCAGTGAAGCCGGAGAACTTTATGCAAAAAAACTTGCCAACTTTGTGGAAAAACGGCTAAAATCTGAACGTGCTGCTTCTGTAAGCTTCTGAAAAAAAATTCCTTTTAATTATTTTACTATAGAATTATTTATTGTTTATTTAGTTATTTTATTTATTAGTTCACCTCTCAATATGAATGTTTGTTTAAGTCATTAAGTAGATTGCTTGCATCTTCTATCATCATTGTCTAACCCTTATCCCAACTATATGGTGTCGGCCATATGAATCCTATTTCACCATCCCATTCTGTTTAGCACGATAGGAATTGTAAAATTATGAGCACTTAAATCATTTCTTACTCCTATTCATGTCATTTTTGGTTTGCCACTAGCCCTTCTAGCCTCTTATGGGTTCTGTAGATGGTCTTCTATGCACCTATTGCTTATATTTTTTATAGTTTTTTTCAAATTATTGAAGTAATTTGTCATTCCTTCTCCTAACATTTTGCCTAACTTTGATACCCCCTATAAATGTGTATTGATTGTTCTATGTATTAAAGCTTAGTATTCTATGTATTAAAGAGAGATCCTAATTCTCTTTTTCCAGTCCAGATACTATAACTTTCACTCGTCTACATGTTTATCCATCTTGTGGTTAGAGAGAGAGAGAGAGAGAGAGAGAGAGAGAGAGAGAGAGTATTATCAAGTTGTCATTGAAAATGAAAATTCTTTAAGGGAGCATACTAATAGAAGAGAATTATTGTCTGTGAATTGTGGCTTCAATTTGCTAAGGCATCTGGATTGAATACTTGCTTTATACAATTGTAAGTAGTGCTTATTGTATTGCTGTTGAACTTAATCAGTTCATAAAAGTTCTGACGCCAATTCAGGTGGTACCAAGGGATGCATATAGTAGAAATAAATAATGAGGTGAACAATGTCTTTGAAGCAGTGATGTTCCCCATATTTTTTCAAAGACTGATGAACTGAGATGTCTCCATGGATCAACCCTTGAGAGGGAGGGAGGGAGGGAGGGAGAGGAGGAAGATCTCTATAGGAGTTTGAAATACTTCACCAGATCCAGATCTCATTTATTAATTGTTAGAGCTAGCCGAATAAGGGTAGATTAGTCATTTTACTTTTGTTAAGTTATGTGTTTATGTGGCAGTCTTAATAGAGACTTCCTGTCCCATACTTAAGTGGGGGCAGTTTAGTCTTTGTACTACTAATTAGAGCCTAATCCATATTAAGGATTGACTGATAGGGTTTAATCTATCATGTTCGACTGTTCTCTTCATCTTCTTCTTCTTCTTCTTCTTCTTCTTCTTCTTCTTCTCCTGGTTCGAATTACTGTAGCTACAGAGAAAATATGGTATCAGAGCAGGACGTTGCTCTCTAAAGCTCCTCACAGATTCGTGACCTCTTCTTTTTTCTTCTTTCTGGGCTGAAAATGGAGAACACAGGTTCGACCTAGGTCTGAGAACACTTCAGTTCCTCTTTCTCTGCGCAGAACCTGTTTTTTTTTTTTTTCAAGAGAACAACTTCAGCAGTGAATGGTCGACTGAAGCTCTCAAAAGAAGGTTGGTTACCTCCTTTCTTTTTGTGTTGTTGGTATTTCTGGGTTGAAAGCCTTCAAAATCTGTGGGGACTGATCAGAACCTAGAGAACTAGGTTGTTTGTAGCCTTGGTTCTTGGAAAAAGGTCCAAGAACAGGCTGTGTTTACAGTGGCCGAATGGTGTAAGGGGTACTGCAGGTGGCCGAATGGTGTAAGGGGTACTGCAGTGGCACTAGTTGAGTTTTCCTTGGACTTGTAGTGCCCTCTGAAAAAGGTCAGACAGGTCTGTACCATGTGTGACAGCTATGGCTGTGTGGTGGTGCTTGTGATGCACAATCTCTATTGAGTAGCTTCAAGAGGGCTTGTATGTGGTCAGTTAGTGCTGAATTAATGTCAGTGTGATTCATGGTTTTATGAAATCAGTAGTGATGTGAACAAGAACAAAAGCTTGTGTACCTATCAACTGTGTTTGGGGACTGATTGATTGTGACTGATTGTGAACAGTAGTGATTGATTGTGACTGGTTGTGAGCCTATCATTGTGTTTGGGGACTGCTGTAGTGTCTGGAACATCAAACCCCTGATAGCAGTACTTAGTTGGTGATTGGGAATTCAGATTAGAAGTAGCACTGGAAGAGAATCATGGCAGCAACTGGAGATGGTTGTAGTGATCAGAAACCTAGTGTGGTGATTCCCTCTGACTATCTAGGTGTGCAGATGACTTCAATTAAACTTAATGGTGAGAACTATGTTCCATGGGCCAAGTCAATGGAAGTTTTTCTCAAGGCAAAGAGGAAAGTGAAGCATGTGAAGGAAGATAAACCACCAGCTGACTCTTCAGGGTTTGATGATTGAGAACAAGAAGATGCCCAAATCATGACATGGTTATGGAATAGTATGGAACCCAAAATAAGTGCCAACTTTATGTTCTTAGATACAGCTAAGGACATATGGGAACATGCCAAGAAGCTTTATTCTGGGCAGGATAATACTACAAGAGTATATCAGCTCTATCAGGAGTATTTCGATCTGCAACAAGGGAATAAAACCCTAGAAGAGTACTATGCCAGTATGAAGAACCTCAGAAATGARCTCARTGTCTATCATYCYMTCACTYYRGATGTTAAGGTTCAGCAACAACAGAGGGAACAACTAGATGTCACTAGGTTCTTAGTGGGGTTGAAATCAGGGTATGAACCAGTTAGGGCCCAAATATTGGGGGGCTCTACCCTTCCTACACTTGAGGAAGTGTTTGCACGACTTCGTAGGATTTCTTTGGGACCTACAGAGAATCCCACACAGTCTAACAGATCAGCATTTGTGATAGCCAGAGGAGGTGGACGTGGTACTAAAAGGGGAGGACATGCCTCCCGAGGAGGTCGTGGTGGTTCCGTATTTGGTCGTGGTGGTGGTCGTGACTCAGGGGGAGGCCGTGATAAAGGAAAAAGTAACTCTACAAGGAAGTGTACACATTGTGGCAGGGACAGACATTCGGTGAATTTCTGTTGTGATCTCCATGGCCCTCCTTCTACATGGGCCAATCATGCAGTAGCTGGTGGGGTTGATGTCAGTGATAACCAACAGGCAGATCTAACTCCTTCCACATCTACATCTGTTTCTGGGAAGGAGATGGTGAGTGTACCGCGTGATGAGTATGAGCGGTTCCTCCAGACTACTTCACAGCATACTACTGCCACCCTTGCCCACTCAGGTATAGCCTGTCTGTCACCCAAACTCAGGTATAGCCTGTCTGTCATCCAAACTCAGGTATAGCCTGTCTGTCTCCATGGATCAACCCCTAAGAGGGAGGGAGGGAGGGAGGGAGGGAGAGGAGGAAGATCTCTATAGGAGTTTGAAATACTTCACCAGATCTAGATCTCATTTATTAATGATAGAAGTCCCAAACTTTACCATATGTCAGATGGATCTAACTTGAGAATGGATAACAAACCAATAAGGATTGCAGACTTACAGTGGTCCAACCTACCTTCAAACAAGCTGACACGATCCATTTGAAAAAAAAAAGGTTACAGAAAAATCAACCCTTACATATAATTTAAGCAACTCATGCAACAGTATTTCAACCTTTATTTTGTCCCAGTTATAGTCCATGGTCTATTTTGTCCTATTAGAGCTTTATGAGGCACAAGAAGTGATTGTTTGGATCAAACTAATAAGAGAATGTAAGAATTCCCAAATGCAATTTGGATGCATGTTATATTACTCTATATATTGTATTATGTCAGTGTGTGTGCGCACACACACGTTTTTGTTTGTTAAAATATTAATTTTTTCTTGCTCTGTCAGAGTCTTCCACATGCATTTCATTCTGATTCCCATTTCAGAGTCCATACAACACAGTTTTGGAGCCACTTTTTATGAGAAATTTTCAAGGCAAGATATTCACAGTTTAAAACTGTTAAGAAGAGCTGAAGTTTTTAGGAGCCATATTGGAAAACATGGTTGAGAACCACAGTAAGAATATTGGTTGTGTATGTGCGTTGCTGAAATCAATTTCAGAATTGATGAACTATCACCACCATTTATCATTATGTTATTATATAAAGCTGTACTAGTGTTGTGCTTAAGAGCCCAGGGTAGATGCTCTACCATATGGAATTAGATGCTAACAAAGGGATGACAGGAGAGATTCTACTAGCATATCAGGAACCATTGACTCTGGGACTCGGCCAAAGCAGAAAGGAGTTTACTGCTTACTGAATGTAGAAATGGATGAGTGGAAAAACTAAAGAAAGACCATCTATAGCAACAGTGAAAGAAGTGACCTATTACTATTACAAGTTGAAGGGTCTAGAAGAGCTAGGAGCAGACCAAAAAGGGCATGGAGAAGTAGTGAGAAATGATTTAAGGACCCTTAACAATATATATGGGCACTGAATAGAGAGGAAAGGAAGAAGAGGATTCATGTACTGCCCTACATAGCTGGGACAAGGCTTAGTTGAGTTGAGTTGCTTACTATATGTGGTAGTTCTAGAATGTTTTGACATATACTTCCAGATGGTCATAGGATGATACCTCAGAGATGACGTGGAGGGTCTGTGGGTTCTTTTTTATTAGGGAAGGTTGAGCTCTAGAATTTTAAATATCTTGTTCAGATGGATTCAAAGATCGACTAGGTTCTTGGTTAATAGCCTGGCATGTAGTAGTTTAGGCAGACATTACTTGTGCTTGGGAGCCATCCTTCCAAGTTAGTATTCTTGTTGTATGAGCATGTACTAATGGTGTTTTTGTTTGCTACCATAGAGATGTTTGATTGTTTAGGGCTCTTGATAGAGAATATCAGAATAATGATGGGGCAGGATTCATGCAGCTGACCCCAAATAGTTTTTTTTTTTTTTTTTATATCTTTTGAAGGGCTACAAAACGGGGGGGTAGCCTGTCCCCCAACCCATAATTCTCCCAACCCAGGTGCAATCCCAAGTCTCCACTATGACCAGCAGGAGACCTTACCAACCAGCTGGTTGGCACCTTGCAGCTGACCCCAAATAGTTGGAGTACCATAGAAAGGTTTGATGTGTTACACTTATGATCATGTTTAACAATTGCATCTTCCATGCTTTCCTTTAGGTCAGTAAAAATCTCTGATCAGTAAAAAAAAGAGGCAATGCCCAAGTGATGACATTTATAGCAAAAGAGTTCTCTTTTTCTGGATGGCAACATCATAAAGAATATCCCTTAGAGAAGTTTTAAACTGAAAAATCAATTTGATATGATGGATTTCTTCCAAACAGCCCTTATCAATTAATTCACAGTTGATTTAAAGTGAAACCTAAATGCAAGAATCTTAGCTCAGAGAATAGCTTTTGATTCATCTTCAAGTTTCAACATAATGTTATTAATAAAAAGGACATTAGCATTAGTAGGTCAGTATCTGCCTCAGGCAGATTTATACCTGAGGAATTATGCTTATTAATTGGACCTGAGTATAAAAAAAGTACTAGGACCAGTCATTTTCCATTTAACTTAAAAGTTCTGTTAAAAATAAACTAGTTTCATCTAATTTCTACTTTATTTTCTTTTATCAATATTCCCAAACTTGTGTATGGAGAAATTTGATCTATCTTCACCATTTTTTATGCTTAAAATTTCTCAGGGATAGGTAATCATGATGTTGTTCATTCATGCTATACAAGTAAATAACAGTTATGTTACTTCTGGTGGTTTAGATATGGACTAGCACATTGCAGAGAACAATTTTGACTGCAAGTCCAATTGCTGGATTCCCAAAGGTTGTTTCTAAACCACATGTGTCATTTGTTTGTTGAATCTCTATATTACATTACTTGCAAAATTTTGGTGGATGACATGTGCATCCTGGAAAATTTAGCAGAAAAAAAAAAACTGTTTCTATAAATTTTTGTAGATACAATGGCGTGCACTTGATGAGATAAATGCTGGAGTATGTGATGGAATGACATATGAGGAGATAAAGAAAAACATGCCAGAGGAATATGAGTATGTTTTTATGTATCATCTGAACATTGTATACCGAAAGTTTCCATTCTTTATTTATGTGGTAATTATTTTATTTGTAATATCTCTCTCCAATTTCAATTTCATTGGAAGATATCTGTCTGACAATGGATCCTTTCGTACAATAGAGCAGTTAAATAAGCATATAACATTTATTTGGCTTTTTTTGGGGTTAAAAGGAGGAGAAATCTAGAGTTGGATTATAAAAGGAAATTTGCTGAGATGTTAGGTTTTGATGGGTGATTTTTAAGGGGATTTAGGGCTGAAAGAAACAATTGGAATGGCATAATATCAGCCTATTAGAGAGCTGCAAAACATGAATGGAGGTATAGCCGGAAGTGGTAAAGAGGGAAGAAAGAATTGGAAAAAGAGAAACAAAGAGGGAAAGAGATATGAACGGATTAAGCACTATTAAGGGTAAAGCATGGCACTGAATTCCAGTGAATTCAGGAAATGATGAATAGTGAGAGGAATCACCTTTGTAAATCGATACAAGGTGAAATCCTTAAAGAAAAGTTACATTCATCTAAAGAGTCTAATCACATGGCTTTATATGGATGTGCTTAGAAGAAGCCCTACTCAAGCAAGATTATCATTACTGGCATCCCTGCTTTAATTTGCAAGGAAAATTTTCCTAAATAATTAAGCATGATTCTGAAGTATATCACTAAACCAAACTGCTTGAGAGATAGAATCCAAGAGAAGAGAATAGGAATTTTGGGAAGGGAAAAAGAAAAATACCTAAAGCATACATTTTTTTTTTGTAATAACCTAAAGCATAATGAAGCCAATCAAAATAGTTGGGATAAGGCTTTTATTGGTTGCATGTGGGCTTGTAAGGCTTGACTAAGGCCTCTCTCTCTCACTCTCTCTCTTCTATGTTTTCTATGTATGTCCATATGAAATTTGTCCATCATTTGTATTTAGCACTTCCACGATTCTCTGTACCAATGTTTAATGATTTTGAATATTGAAATTAATGATTGAGCCTGTTCATTATCTTGCAAATTCTATCTCCAGCCTTTAATTTTGCAATAACTATCCCTTTTTGAATGCATTAGTATGTTCAAAGAAACACATCCAAGGGTGTCTTCATGAATAACCATTAACTAAATATGGCTTTCTGCACATCTACAATATTTTCGGTCTTTTTTAAAGATAAAATTTACCTCAAGTTTACTTTGTTGAAGTAAAGAAACATAATCAATTACTGTAGTACTTTACTATAAAGATAAAGAGAACAAAGTATGAACTTACTTTTTCCTACAAGTAGCACTACTTCCAAGCACAAGGTAAACTCCAAATATGTACGGGAAAAGGTGGTTTATCCTTCAAAAGGTGGTAAAGAGAAGTTAATTAAGAGTTCCAGGGAAATGTACTACCAGAAAGAGTGCAGGACAGTCATTAATTGACTGATCAATGACAATAGCAGCCAGTCAGCCACTTGTCATGCTAGATACGGTTTTAGCATTGTCATGAAATTCAAATACGAGACTAGTAGGGGTTAAACTGGACCCATTTATTTTTTGCTGTTCTCTGTGGACTTTCAACTAAGATATGTGGATACCTGTACATGTTTTGTTGGATACTTCCATTTGTAAAATTCCATATCTGACACCTTGTTCAGCTGTGATTTTACAATATCTGGGTAGCATAGTGGGGAATGAAACATTGCTTGCTGAAACATGGAAATTAATCCTTTTTTTTATTTCATATTTCCATTGAGTACTTTGGACTTCATTTCATTCTTGATTACAAGGATCTGTTCTGTTACTGCAGGTCTCGTAAGAAGGATAAACTGAGGTATCGTTATCCTCGTGGGGAATCTTACCTAGATGTTATCCAAAGGTTTGCAGCTTATTGTTTTTCAATTTCAATGAGTAAACATGTTAGTTTGTGTCTTTCATTTTTTTAATTAGCATGCATTATAATTCCATTTACAATCTTAATGCAGGTTAGAACCTGTAATTGTTGAGCTTGAACGACAACGTGCACCTGTTGTGGTGATCTCTCATCAGGTTATACATTTTTATTAAAGTCCATCTTATTTTGAATTTTTGAAGCTTTAGAAGAGCTGCCATGTAACATGCTCTTTGTATCTTTATAGGCAGTACTGAGAGCATTATATGCATATTTTGCGGACAGGCCTTTGAAAGAAATTCCACACATTGAGGTAATCCATAAATACTGAATATGCACTCCCAGAATGATTTGGTTTTGGTCTTGTGTAGGAAGCAAAAAATAATAAGAATAAGCCATTGTCTGTGCTTGTGCTATACATATAGATGCATAGTATGCAGCTCTGGGGAGGGGGTGTTGAGTGTGGCATTGGGAGATTTTCAAGGCCACGAACTAGGCAAGGGATTGAAATTTATATACTGTCACCTAACCCATTGATATTCCACCTATTAAATCTGCTTCATGTAGCCTTCCAGATGTTGCATCCAGCTGTTATATATCAGATTATCAGGTGTATGATACGGGCAGCAAAACATCAAGCCTCGAAACCTGGGCGATGTCCATTATTTGCATCCTGTGAACACATCCATTCGAACAGGTTGTTAGACTCAGACCGGACACAAAACTGTTCTGGTCATTGGGTCATGGGTAGACCGTCCGGTTTGTGTTCAACTCGCCCAAAAGCATGCACTGAAAGAAAATTAAGTTCCTGTTTGGTTTGTGGGAATAGGAGCCTGGAATTGGAATCAGAATGGCCTATTCTGATTCCAATTGTTTGGTTTGACAGAATCAGAATCCCATTTCCATTCCTGGTGGAATGATATTTCCCCATTTGAGGGAATGGCCATTCCCTCCCCCTCTCTTGGGAATGAAATCCCATTCCAGCTTATTTCAATTCTCATTCCGATTCTTTTTTGAACCAAACAGACTATGGGAATAGACCATTCTCAATTTTGATTCCAAAGGATTTTCATTCTGATTCCGATTCCGAGTCCGACTGTGAACCAAACGGGCCCTAAAAAATAGCATATGGTTTGAGATTATCTTTTAGATCCATTTTACTTCAACTTAAGCTTAACGTGAAAAATATTATGGATTATAACAGATGTTAACACATTTATATCTGAGGTGGGTTTGACCGAGTCAACATTTTTAAGAACTGGACAACCTAAAAATCATTGTCTGCCGGCTCCCGGTTCTGAAAGTCTGACTCTAGTCTTGTCAAAGTTTGACAACATTGGTTCAGAAAATGCGCATTACTTTCATCCTATGAATATATCTAGAACAGAACCAATTTCCTACCAAGCAGAAATTCAAGAAAAATCCCGTCACTAGTAAAAGGATTGCATCATGTTGTTTGAGCACTTCGCTAAATGTTATGGTATAAATTCGTTTTGACCGAGACAAATTTTCCATTTTCAGGTTCCACTTCATACCATAATTGAGATACAAATGGGGGTTAGTGGTGTGCAAGAGAAAAGATACAAACTTATGGACTGATTTTGTTTTAAGAGATCTTATGTTTTGTAACACATTGGCACATCAAACGCCATATGCAATGCCCATTGCAGTAGTTGGTCTATTTAATTTTCGTTCATTGACAAGATGTGAGACTAGAGAAAATGCATCTTACTGTTTGTAATCATTATAGCTCTTATTGTTGAAATGGATACGTTTTTATTTATTGAATATTAAACCATTCAAAAGAGCTGATCCAGTTGATATTCTTAACTTTTTTTTAGGTAATTAGTTGGTATTATTTATTTGAACTGATACAAACTATCCTACAAAACTTGTGATTTAATCATTAACTAGTTCCAAGTTCCAACCACAATCAACAAAAGAGGTTATTATCTCAGTTTAAAATTTAAACTGGGGATGGCTAAGAAAGGGATATTGGGCATATTTGGTTGCACATCTTCCTAAATTGGTGCAAATAAGAGGCATATCCTGAATCTGTGCCCATGTTTTAGTCAGAATTCGTTGGGACTATGATGGTTACCGTAACATTCACGTGTTACCGTTGGATAGTAGTTTCAGTTTTAGCATTGAGAAAAGAGACTAATGGGGAAAAAATTTCACTCCCCATGAATTTCAATGGGGCTGTCCCATGTCAGTCACCGCCACGTACTTGGATTTCTTGCTCTCAAAAAGCGAAAAGAAAATGAAAGTAGGCAAGTGGGAGATAGAGAGTACCAGTACTTGTAAGCTCACACTTCAGACGCCCTCACATGGGAGGAGTGAATAAATTCACTCGGGAGACAAAAGGGGACCCCGTAGTTAAAAAAAGTGGAACCCAAGAAGAGAGAGATTTATATTGATATCTAGGGATCCATCCCACCCGTTAAGATAAAAATAAAGCCTTCATGAAAATAATTAAAACCATAGTTGCTTGCCGTCACCTTCACGAGACTTTTATTTCAGTCTCTGGTCTCTCACTCTCTCTCCTTCAGGTCAAAGCGAATCCCTTTATCCAAGGAACCAACACTCATGCCCCTTATCATTTATCAATGTGTGTGGAATGGAGAGAGAGAGAGAGAGAGTATGGGTAAATTAGATGGAAGAAAAAATCAGAAAGAAAAATAATCAATAAGGGTACTTGATCACTTATACACGCAAACGCAATGTAAAGAAACGTGGGAACCATCCCCGTAATTCAATCCGTTATTAACGACTTCATTTTCACGTAAACGTTTTCCTATAGAGATTCCTTTGGGACCTTTACCTTATGGCTTCATCTTCCTCGTCAGAATTTCGTCTTCTCTCAAGTATCAAGTCTTATTACTTAGTACCGCCATTCTGCCACCACTGCCTCCGTTGCCACTTCTTCTCTACTGAGTGGAAGAAGCAGCATTGATCGAGATCGATGATGGGCATGGTTAGTTCACCGGAGTCGTCCACAGAAAGCCCTGACGGGCCGAGTCAGATCTTCCCCAGCATCTACTCCTACGATGGGAAAGTCATGTTAGCGGCCATTGTATCCTTACTCGTCGTAGTTTTCTTTGTCTTGCTGCTTCATGCGTACACCAGATGGTTACTGGGACAAGCCCACCAAAGGAGGGGACGCTCTATATCTATATCACAGGTATTCGGCCCCGCCCGATTACATCATGTTCGTGCATTTGCTTACGATGATACCCACACCGGTTGCTCGGCCGACGGTCTCGACTCTTCAGTCATAGCTTCCCTTCCTATTTTCATCTATAAATCTGATCATGATGAGAACAAGAACGAGTTGGAATGCATAGTTTGCTTGAGCGTGTTTGAGGATGATGAGACGGGAAGGAGCCTACCCAAGTGCCAACATGCCTTCCATGTAGAATGTATAGACATGTGGCTGCAATCGCACTCGAGCTGTCCCATTTGTAGAGCTCCCGTGGGACCCGACAAGTTGATCGGAGTTACTCCATTATCATCTGCAAGTGCAATGTTACCCAGTGAAGAGGGCGGAGAACCCGTCGACACAACTTCCGGTGTTTCGGCCGCTTTTGAGGGGACTTCTCCTTCGGATGCTTCAATTGAGATACAGGTAGACACAACTTCAGCCCCCAAAATTTCCTCATCGTCGCCACCGCAACCATCATCTCCGTCGTCGCTGGCTTCGTCGTCGTCTTTGGGTTGTTCGTTGAAGAGAATGTTGAGTAGGAATAGATCAGAGCGCAAGGTGTTTCCTTCGTCTAATGCAAATGAGCTGAACGTTTGATTGCAAAATTTTCCTTGTTGAGGTTCCGAAAGTCTTCCTCTTAATTAGAACTACTGAAGTAGATGCATATAATATTATATTATATATGTTATTTGTACTTTGTACATTTTCACTTCATGCTTACGATCGATCCATCTCTGTGCATTTCATGACTGATGTTTCCCTTGCTCTGGTCCTCCGTCCTCGACTCGATCTCCAAGCCTCCAACTCCAAGTCCGACTGATGTAACGCGCGCGAGCACTATTCTTTTTCTAGGGACGGGTTCGTTTGGTCGAATCTGATTCACCCGGTTCTCTAAATAAAAACAACTTTGACTTTGCTAAGCCGCGCGGTCTTTACTTGATAATCCCAACATTCATCTTTCTGACTGAGTTACTGGGACCAGTGAACACAGCCGGAGTAGCTGAACTGAATGAATGGTTTATTATTAATTTGTCCTTTTGGTAAAAAAGTGTTTTAAGGAAGTTGAGATTTGAGAACTCTTCATTCAATTGTGGAAACCGATCGAAATTGGGTTCAGGCGTTCAGCTTCAGTAGTTAGCCA